CCTTCTACTTCAATTTCGATCGTCTTGCTGAAGAACTACAAGTCAAGATGGCGGACAATGTTAAGATTAATGATGTTGCTGTGTAATACGCTTCTTTCTAGCTCAAAATACTTCTATAATTTCCCAAAGGTACATCCCTCTCGTTTTGTTATTAGGAGTAAGATGATGGGATCTTGTCTCATTCAAAAACCTCCCCCCATACGTTTATTGATGATTAGTCACGTTATGGATTATGGCAATTAAGTATATTCGCGCTTAACTAAATGCTTTCCTTGGCTGTGATTGTGATTTTCGTGTTCGGTGTCGTCCCAAAATTGATTTTTTAACCCCACACAATTTACTTCTACCGTGTTCAATTTATGCCTTAAAAAATAATTACTTTGCCTATCTTCTAGTTGATTTTAATAAACTTAGCTGTACGTTTAATATCTATTCTTAACTTGTAATTATTTAAATGATCTTCTTATAAGTAAATCTCTTGTAAATGACCTTATAAATATAAAAATATTCCTATTTTAACGTGTTATAAGGTGTATTTTCGTGAAAAACCCCTTTACGACTCCATATTGTAGCAATTATTTAGTCAAAATTGTTTGCATTTTTTTTTACATTTATAAATAATCAATGGCTCTAAAATGTATGCAATTTTATTAGAAAAAGTCTATTGAATTGTTTTTATTAATTCAAATCCTTAAAATGTTATTTAAATTAAAAATTATAAGAAAAATAGAACCGCTTCTATTTTTTTTAGATTTTCTCATCTTAGACAAAAAGTATTAAATTAATTTTAAGTAAATATCTTGCACGTTATCTCCCTAATATAAGATTGATTTTAATTATAAAATATAACAGAGTATATCTTTATAAAGAAGTCTTTTAATGTACACTACAGTATATAGAAGCAATCAGAAGCAATATATCTAATCACAATTAAGAGAATAACGAATTAATTTTAATACATTTAGTTTAGGGTCATCATACCTCAAAAACTTGGCTTCTCGAATTGAATTTTTGATCAAGAAACAATAAAAAATAAAAAAAATGCAAACTCATAACTCATAATACAAGAAAGTTTGAGTTAAAGAAGGATTGATAAAGAAGAATATCCAACTTTATCTGAAGGTTATGCAGATAAAAATAAAGACATTTTTTTGAATCTTCCCAATAATTTATAAAGGAGGATACAATTGGGAACGTTGCTAAAAATACATTTCGTCAGTCCAAGTGCAGCAAGTCGATTATTCAAAGGGGGAAAGGGAGAACAGAGAGAAAGAGGGAGGAAGAAGGAAAAAAAAAAAAGATTCAATCGTACGACGCTTCTTCTCTATTAGAATGCTACCAGTGAAATAACCCGATCAATATCAAAAGGAATATTACTTTTATAATACCACCATTGATATATCACAAATGTTTAATGCAATAGTGACATTGATACGCAGATTTTGGAGTGGTGATAGCCGGAATAATATCGTACCTAGCATAAAAACTATATTGGAACACAAAAGATGCTATGCTTGTCACTAGAATGATGAATTCAACTATATAGAATAGGGAAATGGAATGAGAGAATAACGTGAAAACATATCTGAATTGATATGCCCTTTCTTCAATAAACAGATCGAGCAGAAAGAAGTAATAAACTTGCTTTTCGTGGCTCTAATCAGAAACCAAGCATTTGTCTGAGTATTGGGTCTGAAAGTAAGAAAGTTACTCCCTCTCTAAAACAATATCGGCTCGAAGTTTCTTGTATAAAAGGCTCTTCGAAGCCAAAATAATGAGATTATGGTGATACTTTCGCGGCAAACTTTTCTGTAAGGCTACAAGGAGCCTTTGAGAAATTTTGGGTAATGCAGCTTACAGAGATTAATGCAACGTAAATTTCAATGAGGCTACGAGGAGCCTGGTGTAATGAATATGTCAATGAGACTATGAGATTAAATTAGTAAATTAATCTTTCAATGATGCTTCCAAGAGCCTAGTGTGATGATCTCAATTAGCTACAAGAAATCATGGTAATCGTGGAGGAGCTTATTGAGATGAAAGTTTCATTTCTATTCAGCCAAAAGGCCATCTGTTTAAATATTTATCTTACTGTTTATGTATTTTATTTTTGTTTAATAACTGAAACCTGAGAGGTCTCTCCTGGGATCCAAACTTCATTCTTTACTCTTTCCCTCTTTCATCCTTCATCACTTTTTCTACCTTTAAGCTTTCCTTTTTCTCTACTCCTGCAGGCTCAGTCTATTGACCACCTCTTTCACTAATGATGAAAGCTTCAGTGAGATGATCAAAGAGCATTTTGTAGAGAAAATTTAGGAAGCTAAGAGGAACCGTTTTAGCATAACTCTAACTAAGCATTCTTAATGGTAAAAGTCGTAATTTTAATTAAAAATTGTCATCTGTAAGCTCCATATAAGCCATTATTGATGCAAAGGTCACGCTGTATGAAGCATCACCTCTGTATCAATAATGAATAAATACTAAATACAAATATTTATTCTGATACAACTGCCATCTATGATCCAGTATAGTAAATATATAAACTAAAAATGAAGAGCACATTAACGCTTTTCATTAATATTATAAAATCTCGCGTAACCTTGATGGAATTCGCGATCTACCGGTTGGGAAACGGAACCCGAAACGAAGCCTTTCACTTCTATCAGCCTTCCACCTTACTACACGCACCATCTGTCGGCGAAAAGGCGAACTAAAACGGGAGTAATCTTTAAAAACCTTTCGGCATTTTGTTCCTCATAATATAACATTCCCCTAATTTTTATCCACTTCTCTTTGTCTGTAGCGATAATTTTATAGATAGCAGTTAAAGTAAGAGGTATTAAAAGTCACACAATTTTATTTCTCCTGTTATTACGTTTTATATGGATCATAAAGTCAGCAGCTATTTGCTCGATGGAAAATAATGATTGGGTGGTTAGATGCTTTGTCGTTACCACCCGAATTGACTGCTATTCAACATTCTGAATGCTTAATAATAATAAAAAAGATCCTTTAAATAATATCTACACATCTTTAAAGTGAGTTTTATGATATTTATAAAGGAAATAATTTAACGAGTTGTGTACGACATTTACTATACTTTTACTTTACTGCTCAACGATGGAGAGAAAGAGAGAATGTTGCTATTTTCTTACCTTAACCTTATTATCGTTAAGAACATAAACTTATTTTAAGATTATTAAGAGATTATCCTTTTTATTTTTCCTACTGGCATCCTCTTTATTCTCTATTCTCGTTAATACCCGCCTTTTATCTGACAAACTACTTGAAAATTAATATATATATTGCTAATTTATAAAGGGTATTTTAATATATTACACTATATAAACCCGTTCGGAATTACTAATTTATGTAATAAAACTTTATAATTTTGCTATTTTATGCTTGGAAAATTATTTTAAACCCATAACGTTCTCAACCTTTGGATTTAGAGCAATAATTGTTCTACGAATGACCAAATTCACGCTGGCATTCATAAAAAATTCTGATTATGTTTAAATCTTGCAATTTTTCACATAGAAACCGAGTTTTATATACAGTTTAATACTTTGCAATGAGGCTCCTCGAGTTTAGACACTTAATTATATTGTACGNTGTTAGAGTCTGAATAATTATTTAAACTTGACAAAAAGAAAAATACTTCTTATTCATCAATGTAGATATATTTGAAGTTAAAAACACAGTGAAGCTATCAAAAACATCTATCATAAGCTTGATATAATGAAATTATTTGAATTAGTTGTATTTTTTATATTATATTAATTCTAATCAGTTACTCCAGGAAAACGTTTTGCAATTTTTCTCCAAATAAAACTTTAAATTTTTTATTTTTATGTTCTTTTAATCCAATATTATATAAAATTGGGTGATTTTTTTGCAGCATTTATTAATATTTTTATATATAATATATATATTTGCATTTTTACAACTCTGACATAAATGCTGAGCATCAAGTACACATGTACCATCACACAATTTTATTGGTTTTTGGCTAATGGAAGAATGCCAAGTTTGATCATGAACTGAACTTTGACTATTTTGAGGTCCAGCAGTGAGCTACCAGTGGAATGTAACTATTGACACTGAATATTATAAAGGAATGGTTCGTGAATGGATTTCAGTGGAATGGAACATTGTTGACTATGAACCACTTCTTACATACTATGATGAGTTAACTAGCTGACTTGATAATAATGAATTAAAATTCAAAATAAATAGTTTTAATTGGGTCAGTTTTATGTTAGAACCTATTTTCAATCTTCATAATAAAGATTTGTTGATTATACAATATTGATATTGCTATTTTAAATTATATTACAAACATCTTAATTTTAATTAAATTATTTTTTATTCATATAAATGTTTATTAATATATAAGATAATCATGAAATATAATTGACAAAATTTACATATTTAAAAATATACAAACATCATAAATTTATTGTAGTAATAATCATTAAACTTTACTGATTATCAAATATTCTGGATCCACTTGGTAAAGTTAACCTCAGTGTGAGTAAAAAACTGTTTTTTGTGTTAAAGGACTTGAAGTAAAGACAATTTCAAGTTAAAGAAAACAAATTACAGTAAAAGCATGTTCAGTGATAATACATAACCATGTTTTTCAGATAAAAACAGAAAAAGAAATACAATAAATATACTTTTCAAAATTAAGAATCTAATATAAAATCTTAGTATTCTAGAAAGTATAAGGAATTTAAATTTTGAAAAAGTCTGTATCAAATTTTTAGTAGTTTTTCTGAATCGTTTGGCCCAGATACATCATGTTCATTATTCACTATACTTCTACCTTTGCTTGAGGCCAAAACTCTTGATCCAGAAATAAGACCTCAGAAACAGTTTTTAAAATGTGTACATTATAGTTTTACATAATAATTGGTAATCTCTCANTATTTAAATTAATCTTTATTGTAAATTAAATTTTTACCAATAAAATAATTTATAAATAGATTTTGAGATTTATATTTAATGAATTTTTATTATTCGTTTGTTATGTAGTATTCGTGACCACAAGTAGTGCCAACGTGCTGAAACAGGGGCTTTCCTTCTGGTGACACGGCATGTAATAGTGAAGAAGGACACACCGTAGAAGGGTGACATCGATAAGAATCTTGATATAGAGTCGTATCTGCTATTGCACCTTCTCGAATTTTCAGATTTTCTTTTGGTTTCATTATTTTCGATGCTGGAACAAATTGCCCCCGGTATTGAGTTGTGTAAATGCTCTCCATCAGCATTTTATGTCTTGGTGTTTTATAAATTTCTGGCAATTTTGGTATTTTCGGTTGACAGTTTTCGTAATCTTCACCGTAACATTTTGCACACTCCATAACTTTTCCGTCACCTAATTTCATGTAATTCGTCTGCGAAAAGTAAATACAGTATTTTAAAAAGGAAAGTTATGAAATTGGAAAAAAGCATTCTGGGCCTTTAAAATTTTGATGTTGAATAGTTGAGATGGTAAAGGCATCATTGAGATGGTAAAGGCATCAACCTGCTGCTCTAGGGATCCAGCTTCAAGTTCAAACTTAAGAATGTTTGTAATACAGTAAAACCTACTAATATGACCACCTGTATAATGTGACCATCTGCTAATATGACTACTTTGAGCTGGATCCTTCAGTAGTCACATTAGCAGATTTCACTGTTTAATTAAACAGCGTATGTATTCCATATTTCACCAACTGGAATCTTATGGGTCTAATCGAACCTTTGATGGACATTCAAAAAGCACTCTGAGTGCCCAAAGAGGGGAAAGAGAACTTGTAAAAAGGATCTCTTATAATGAAAAGAAATAACTAAGGTTACGAATAGAAAAGTTGAACTTACCGGCCTTCTCTTAGGAAGGCGATCAAATTCAAGGGGAGGTTTCTGATAACTTTCTGAATAAACCGAAACACCAGAAAATGGTTGGGAAAAGGTTTCGTATGGTTCCTTTTCCATCCAAGGGTTTCTCCTATTGTCAGAAGGAGACCAGAATTCATAATCTTTCTTGTAAACAGTACGTTTGTAAGATGGATATCCAAAAACTTTATAAGTATCCTCCGGACGATAGCTCTTCAATTGCTTTACATCAACAGGTTTACGAAAGTCAGTCTGATAAACTGTGGTATTCTTGAAAGGTGGTAATTTTAGAATTTCAACCTCCACTCTCTCGGGCATATTTATGTAGATCGGATTTTCTACAAAATCTGTTTTATAAGTGCTATCGAGAAATAGATGTCCTTCAGGATTTAATGTGGAGTCTTTGCAAGTTCCTCTTTCTGGATACACATTAGCAAACTCGCGATAATCTTCCTATTAATGTACGAATTCAATATAAAATCGTCTTTACAAAAGAAAAATAGGAAGATAAGTCATAATAACACCTACTTTATATTTAGTAATACCCACAAATGGCCGTTTTCCTACATATGGAAAAGAATTTACAGGTTTTTTAGCGGTACCTTTGCATAAAACGATGTCATTAGCTTTCCAAAGCTTGTAAGAATCTTTATGAATAGTTTTATCACTTAATGGATTTAGATTTGCTCTATATTTCTCTTTGGGCTTATAAGATTCTGCTGGAGGAATTTTCTGAAAAAGTTTAAAACATAAATTTATCTATTCAAATATAACAAATAATGTATAACTTACTTTATAGGAATTGCAATAATCTTCTTTGTATGAAGATACTCCAATCAAGTTTGGTAAGCTTCTTATGAAGGATACTGATTTGTAAGATTTTCCAGGAGGGATCTAACGTATTTCAAATTTTAGATAAAATTTCTATAAAAATGAGTTAAGAACGAACTTTTTATAATACCTTATGATGTTTATATGCAGCTGATGCGATGGTTTCTGATGCCATAGGCTGATCGGTATATTTAACAGGTAACTGTGTAGTTTTCGGTAAAGCAGTTGAGAATTTTTCATATTTCTGAAAAAGGCGAGTACAAAATAATTGAATTTATTATAATATTATTTATTATAGTGAAAATAATATGTTACCAACATCAATATATTCCGAAGAAGGCAATTTCGAATCGGGTATGGGATTAGGACGAATGATATCCTTGCTATATTTTTTGGGACAATGATGGCGCCTGAAACAATAACAGAAACGTGTAAAGTTTTGTAGAGTTTCGACTAAATTAAACTATTTTTGACTTCAACTTACCCACAAATGCAAATGTTACTGATGCAACGTTTGATCTTCATTCTCTGATATTGTTTCATTTTTATAACAATTACCGATATTGTTATAACAATGTTAAATTCTTTATTATCTAAATGTTTAGGCTAAAATAATTTAAACAAATTGCTAAATATGTTAAAGAACTATCGTAAATTATTAAATGGTATATTAAATTACGATAATGCTCATAGAATAAGTTATATATAGTAGACCCCTATAAAACGGGTTCATANAATTTATTTATTTATTCCAAACAATATAAAATAGAAAAGATAATTTAGAACTTAAAGAATAATTAACCAAATATTTATTATTATACAGTTGCAGGTAAGTTAAACTTCCTATTTTTGATGGTATACATATCACGCAAAGGCCTGACAAGAACAAAATATATAAACTTTTCTACGCCTGACCATCTAATTATCGTGCATTCTCCTCTTTGACCGTATCTTTTTGCTTTTCTCATCTGACCACTTCTTTTATGGTGCCTCTGGCTATTGAAATCTGGACCCATTCAAAGTTCTATGACTCTGAAGGACTTGCTCGAGTTTTTCTACTTACCCTATATAATTTTTACTGGCTACTTACCTCAAAAATTTTTAGAAGAGATAGAACAGGATATCAAATCGTTCCCAGGAATCCAAACCACCTTCTTTTCTAGTAAACAATGTAAAAGTTGAGGTCCCATGGATGGAACCTTGTCGTGTATCAGGATCTTTCGGAACGGATCACGTGGATCACGAATTAAAAGAAAACACGACCTCGTACAAAGCGTAACACTTGAAGAATTCTTATGATATATGACCTCATTTGCATATTTATCGCAAAATAATAATTGAAATTTTTATTTAATCATTACAGTTCTTACACAAGGATGTCTCTCGTTAACCATTTAAACAGTTTGAGCCCATCAAAATTATAAATTTCGCTATAAAAATTCAAAAATTATCTATTAATTAATAAAAATTGCATCAATACAAACATTTAATAAAATATAAATTTAAACTTTTAAAATAATACAGTAAGTCCATAATTGGTCTAATCGTATCACGTGATCGGAAAATTTAAATTCTATTGGAGAGAAAAAGAAATTGATTAGATTTTAAAGCTAGGAGATCGAACCACGTGGTTAATTTTTCTAAATCAAATATAATAATTTTTTTAAAGAGAATAAATGAAATTTTTTTTTTAAATAGAAAAAATTATCTGTTAGACTTTTAGAGACAGATGCAAGTCATTTCTTTTTATTTATTTTTTAATCAGAAGAGGAGTTGTTCTTCTAGGATTTCGGATGTTTTTAATGATCTTTGGGGAGATGCACAGATGAAAGAATAAAGGCTTGGGTTTTAGAAAATCCTTCACTCTCATTAAAAACCGTTTAGCGATTTGAAAAACTCTTTACTTTTCGTTATACTTTAGTCAATTGAGTAAATTTTCAACGAGACAGTCACTTCTCAGGGATTATGAACGGATTTATAAAATTTGATCCTGGCTTTTTTTTAATTTTAAATCTTATCTTAAAGATTAAGTATTTATGTTAATTCTGAAGAGATTATATAATTTTTTTTAATCCATAATATTCTTCTTTATTTTAAAAACTGTGATTTTAAGCTCTAAAAACAACGTTATTATCTTGTGTTTACATCCTCAAAATGCGCCTAAAATACGCAATTTTTATTAATTTATTTATAAATTTATTTAACATACGTTTATTTGGAATTTTATTTTTGTTTTTATTATAAAATTAAATTTTTACGTGCATATTTTAAAGCAGATTATACATTTTTGTATGATTTTATGAGTAAAAAAATAATCTAGGAATATCATATAGGCTATACAAGTTAGATAACGATTCGTCTGTTTCGTAGTGTTTTTTAATCAATTGAATAAAAATATAAATAAATATGATATTCTCAACCTGTAGTTCGCGATCGCTAAAAAATCGTATTTCTATGCGCCGATTCAGTCACCAATTTAGAAAAGTTGAAAAACATAGTGTTATATATAAAATACTTTATAGCTTTATCAAGGTTATAAATATATGTAGAGCAGAAATAACGGAAATAAAAGGAAATAAAATATATTTCGATCTTAGAAAGAGAGTAAAAATAATTGAAAAACCCTTTATTATTTATCAATACCTACTTTAACAAAGTTATTTTAACAAATAAATATATTCTACTCCATCGAAAAATTAAATCAGGATCAGCTTCAACAAGGGAGCACTCACACGAAATCCGAACAGACGAGATTCGAGAGAGAAAAATCGTAAGGCAGCAATCACCAACCTGATACAATCCATCAAAGGCGACATATAAGGACAAGAAGAGGGAAAAACATTAATTTACAGAAACATTGAATAATTAACAAGTGAGATGTCTGCAATCACGACTGTGAATAAATATTTCAACCGCTTGCGAATGTCTCGTTTACTCCCCGTTTCCAATTTTTGTTTGGCAAACTCTGTCGTTTCCTTAACCCCCCAGGGACCCATCCTACAACAACGTAAAGGGGACGAAACACAAGAGTAACTAGAATTTTAAGTCGTATCGTTACTTTTTTCCTTTCCCCCTTCACCCCCTTTTAGGGTACCTCATACTGGTTACGATCCATCAATATTGTAAATTTTTCAACCCCCCCTTTTTATATATTTTTTTTACCCTTCTTATTGCTTCTTTACACGAAATATCCTTTATTATATACATCGCAAGCTTTACAATAACGTTTAAAGTAAATAATAATTTTTTTTTCTTTTTTTATTAAATTTATTCCACGTTCTTGTTTACATTAGTCAACATTCCTCTACATGTAAAAATGGAGAATGTCACCTGCGGTTGGTTACTCACATTGGGAATTTTTTTTTAGATTTTGTATTAGAAAAATTATTAGCATAAATTGTAAGGTTATTAGGGATTTTTTTTTCTCTTATTAGTGCTTCAACTTTTGCCATTTTTTCAANTTGCATTTTTACAACTCTGACATAAATGCTGAGCATCAAGTACACATGTACCATCACACAATTTTATTGGTTTTTGGCTAATGGAAGAATGCCAAGTTTGATCATGAACTGAACTTTGACTATTCTGAGGTCCAGCAGTGAGCTACCAGTGGAATGTAACTATTGACACTGAATATTATAAAGGAATGGTTCGTGAATGGATTTCAGTGGAATGGAACATTGTTGACTATGAACCACTTCTTACATACTATGATGAGTTAACTAGCTGACTTGATAATAATGAATTAAAATTCAAAATAAATAGTTTTAATTGGGTCAGTTTTATGTTAGAACCTATTTTCAATCTTCATAATAAAGATTTGTTGATTATACAATATTGATATTGCTATTTTAAATTATATTACAAACATCTTAATTTTAATTAAATTATTTTTTATTCATATAAATGTTTATTAATATATAAGATAATCATGAAATATAATTGACAAAATTTACATATTTAAAAATATACAAACATCATAAATTTATTGTAGTAATAATCATTAAACTTTACTGATTATCAAATATTCTGGATCCACTTGGTAAAGTTAACCTCAGTGTGAGTAAAAAACTGTTTTTTGTGTTAAAGGACTTGAAGTAAAGACAATTTCAAGTTAAAGAAAACAAATTACAGTAAAAGCATGTTCAGTGATAATACATAACCATGTTTTTCAGATAAAAACAGAAAAAGAAATACAATAAATATACTTTTCAAAATTAAGAATTTAATATAAAATCTTAGTATTCTAGAAAGTATAAGGAATTTAAATTTTGAAAAAGTCTGTATCAAATTTTTAGTAGTTTTTCTGAATCGTTTGGCCCAGATACATCATGTTCATTATTCACTATACTTCTACCTTTGCTTGAGGCCAAAACTCTTGATCCAGAAATAAGACCTCAGAAACAGTTTTTAAAATGTGTACATTATAGTTTTACATAATAATTGGTAATCTCTCAAAAATAAAAAAAAATATTTTTTGAAAAGTGATAAAATATTAATTATATTATAAATTTTTATAAAATTTTTAGGTTGGTTTGTTCACAGAAATTGGTCCACTTTCATGTTTCATTTCCAGACATGTAAGTAGTTTTTATCATTACTCTTTGCTTAGAAAAATGAAACCATTTATTTATTTCAAAGTTAATTTCAATATTAAAGAAAGAAATATGACTGTACCAAACCAAATAACTGACAAGCTTGGGACTAGAAGTGGTTTGGATTTCTAGATTTTCAGTTTTCTGGACACAGACTGAATATACATGTAAAATATAAAATAAATAGTGAAAAGTAAGGAATGAAACTGTTTTTAACACACTGTATGTTGCAGTGTAATGCACTATTTGATTTTTTCCCAGAGTTAAACCTAACAAACAGTGTTATGTAAATTAAAATCAGGTTTGATCAATTGCCGAGCCTGGACTTTGAATGTGAGAAGAGGAAATAATAAACTTTCTTGTTTGTAAACAAAAAGAAAATAAAAAATGATAACTTATCAAAAAAAATTCAAAAGTGTTTTTTAAATAAAGTGGGTGATCAGTTAACAAACATAATTTGTTNTATCTACCGTATTATAGGGGGTCTACTGTATCTAGTAGCGAAAGTATGATTTTAGCGCTTTGTATACAGAATTGTAAATATGCCAATATAAATGTTTTAAGTATTGTTAAAGCAAGATAACGAATTATAACGAAGCGATTAACTTATAGTTTCATATGACAACCTTAAACATTAATTTTGTGTTGCAATGCACGCAACATTCAATTGTTGGCGGGGAATGTTGATCCAAGTGTATATCTGTTTTGCCATGAATCGATGAGCTCAACGCCTGTGCCATTCACTGTAAAAGAATTTTTGAATAAAAATGTAATATATTTAAACTTTATAATACACGGCATCTTTGAATATTTACGACTTTTTGCTTCTGGAAACAAAGATACATTGATCTATTCTACAGCATCTTTTCAATGTTTATTGTCGACATTCAAAACGTACTATTTCGTTCTAAAACTTCAGTAATGAAAAAATCAAGTATATCGCTAGCGAAGAAGGCGGTCTCCATTGTTTCGTGTAAGAAAGTGTATAAATAAGTAGTTGTTGATGAATTTTATTGCCAAACCTTTACAGATTTTCAGGAATAATTCAAAATTCTATCCATTTCATTAAAAAATTACCAAATAGATTTAAAATTACGTATTTAATAGGTGGCGCTTTCTATTTTTGAACATTTCGAAACGTGATTAGTAATCTAGCTTTTGGCGGAATATTTTCAAGCAAAATGTTTTATCACGTAAGTCACGTATCTTAATTCGTATTTAATTATAAATTAATGATAATAGTTAAGAATCATTGTTGTAATATTGGGTATTTTGAAAGTATAACAAGTGTTCTGTCACTGTATCAAAACAATTGCCAACTGTATATTATATAAGATAATGATAGACATCGTGATTGTAATACAAACTTTATCATTTTTTCAATTTGGCTTTTCATTATTTAAAAGCATGGGATTATCCATGACAAGTACAGCAAAGAAAGTATCTGTGGTATGTTTATTAGAGACCTATGCAATGTACTGTACAGTACTTGCATAAATGTTTAATATACTTACCACAGATAATCTTATTCTTCCAATTACTTAAGAGTGTGCTGTACTTCTTACTGTTGCTAAATACGTATGTTTATTACTGATTAAGACTTACATTTAAAAAATCTTACAATTTAGCAGGAACTTTTGGAGAACAAACGTTTTTCTTCCATTATAAGCTTTCTGTCTATAATCTATAAGAGTAATAAGTAACTATACAAACATATTTTCCTTTCTGTTACAATTTTTAGACAACTCGCACTCCTTTTGTTTTATAATTAACATTTAGTACTCCGGAATGCATTTTGGTGATTTCCTTGCCTACTTTGGCCAGATTACATAATCTATTTTGAACTTTACAATATCAAATTAGTAATCTTGCAAGTTAAAATATTGATTTGTAAAATTTTAAAATATAAATGAATTGCAGCTACCATATAAACCGATATTTGTTACAATAATAATAAAATTGAACACGGTAATGGTTCCTAATGTTGATTTTCATTTTAAGATCCTCGACATTGCTATAATATGAAAACGTGTTTCGGTAATTATTTTTTGTGTATGTCTCAATTGTAGATAAAATTAAGAGAAAAATGCTGGTGTATTACTTAAAAATAACAAAATAACATGGTAAATCTTTAAACCATAAACTAAATGATCTTTGAACTATGTAATGTCTCTTATGTAGATAGGTAACAAGCCATTAGTATTAATGTAACAAATGAAAAAGTATACTGTACAGTATTTAGAATTAAAATGATTAATATACTGTACTTGTAACTTTAAACTTCTAACTAGAAATGTTGACATTTTTAAAACTATTTCTTTAATAGTTTAAAAAGTAAACATAGTTTACTAGAAGCCATTACTTTTTAATTGATAAATTGGTTCAAAATAACTTTAGACTTCATCTCAAGTCCACACTTCAGAAAATGAACTGTAGAACTATAGAAAAGTTTATTTTTGAAACTACAAGCTATGGAGAAAAGTTTTTGAACAGCAACATTTACGTGAAAGATTATTGATTGCAGGAATTTTTTTTTATTTCTTAACAAATAATTTTAGAGTAATAAAAATTCTAGAGTTTATTTCTAATGAACTATTTTCAAATATTCTATTTGTGTTATTAGTTTTTATTGTGTGAAGGGCTTCAGTTTATTGCCAGTTACAGAGATTGCTAAGGTGTTAAATGAAAGTTTGCTTGTACAGTAATACCCCGAACTTATGCGATAGGTGGGACCGAGCGATAACCGCGTAAGTCGGGGTATAATTTTTCAATGTCTGTAAAATCCAAGTCGGATGTATGTAAGCTAATAAATGTTCTCGTTAATCTTATCTCGTCTTCTGATTCGTTCATTGTTACAAGAAATCACCACACAGAGTCTCTCGAGTCTCCGTAGATATAACAAACACAGAAATAAATAACACAAAATAAGTTGTAGCTATGCGTCAATTCCGCGCGACACGTCCGAACATGTAAGTTGAACAATAGTGTGGAGGGAATGAGTAATCAAGAGTTGCGTGGTGCTCAAACAAAAGACGAATCGACGAGATTTGAAAATTGCGTAACTCCGGGTTCGCGTAAGTCGAGGTATCACTGTATTTTGAGTTCTAAATTTGGAAGATAATGTATTAAAATAAAAAATAAAAAAAATGCCAATGGTATTTACATTAAAATATAAAATATATTGCAGCTACAAAATGTATTCATTTTCCATCATTCACAACACTAACAACTGTCCAAAACAATTTTCACTTAAGAAGATGACCTTTTATTTGAAGCTTTGTTTCTGCAAAAAAAAAAATGCAAAATGGATTTATAAAGTAATATCCATTATCTTAAAATACAAAATATATATATTTTAAGATGATATATGTTGTTTGTCAGTAAATGGCATGATATGTGATAACTGTATTTTATGGTATTTATTATCAATATTTGAAATGAATTAATACATTTTTAAATGTTAATTTGAGTTTTTTAATTAAAATTAATTAATTTATTAAAAGTTCAGCTGTTGTATAAATGCTATATGATATGTTTAAACAAGTGACTTTTCATTTCTCATTATTATATTGTGTTAGTTGGTTTTTAACATCTGGTTAGAAACTGTTGCGGCTTCTAAAAGAAGCTGCAGCAGTTTCTAAAAATTACTTTAATGAATGTAAAATGTTTTTTTTGGCTATTTCTGTTTATTGAAGATAAATATATTTTTAAATTAAATTTTCACATATAATTATGCCAAGTTAAAGAAATGCTAAACTATCTCAATGAAAATCTTTTATGTTTTACACAATTTATTTTATGAAGGACTTATGGAAGATAAATACAGTAAAATCTCACTAATTTAGANTTCTTTATTATCCAAATGTTTAGGCTAGAAAAATTTAAACGAATTGCTAAATATGTTAAAGAACCATCGTAAATTATTAAATGGTATATTAAATTACGATAATGCTCATAGAATAAGTTATATACAGTAGACCCCCTATAAAACGGGTTCATATAATACGGATTCGTATATAACGGCGAAAAAATTGCGATCGTATTTGTATAAACACGCTAAAAGAGACTCGTATAATACGGTAAAACGTCATCGCCGACAGGATTGGTCGAATCTAAACCAATAGCGTATGTTGCACAAACCGTTGAGTTTAAACGAGCAGAGGACCTACTAAAAAGCATTTATTATTTAACGGCCATAAAAATTACATTTCTATTAATGATGTCTCCAAAGTTCAGCGAATTTTTCGTAAAAAAATAACTTATCAGGAAACACACGCCTGCCGTTCGATGCGCCGCTCCGCGACGAAAATAAACTTAAGTGATCGCAGAACATAAATTCATATAAAACGGAACGTATCTACCGTATTATAGGGGGTCTACTGTATCTAGTAGCGAAAGTACGATTTTAGCGCTTTGTATACAGAATTGTAAATATGCCAATATAAATGTTTTAAGTATTGTTAAAGCAAGATAACGAATTATAACGAAGCGATTAACTTATAGTTTCATATGACAACCTTAAACATTAATCTTGTATTGCAATGCACGCAACATTCAATTGTTGGCGGGGAATGTTGATCCAAGTGTATATCTGTTTTGCCATGAATCGATGAGCTCAACGCCTGTGCCATTCACTGTAAAAGAATTTTTGAATAAAAATGTAATATATTTAAACTTTATAATACACGGCATCTTTGAATATTTACGACTTTTTGCTTCTGGAAACAAAGATACATTGATCTATTCTACAGCATCTTTTCAATGTTTATTGTCGACATTCAAAACGTACTATTTCGTTCTAAAACTTCAGTAATGAAAAAATCAAGTATATCGCTAGCGAAGAAGGCGGTCTCCATTGTTTCGTGTAAGAAAGTGTATAAATAAGTAGTTGTTGATGAATTTTATTGCCAAACCTGTACAGATTTTCAGGAATAATTCAAAATTCTATCCATTTCATTAAAAAATTATTTACACCAATTTTAATAATATATATATATATATAGACACGTTTTTAATGTTTCAATTAAATACCGGTAATGATGACAGTCCCTGAGTTAGGAACTAGTTCCATTCCTAAAATTCGAAATAAAAACATCTGTTGCCATCTAGCGGAAAAATTCTGCATTGAAAACATTGACAAAATTAATTATAAAATAAAAATTAGTTATATAATTAATATATAATTATTAATTAGGGGCATATTTATGTAGATCG